CGCGACTGAAGACATTAAAATTGCAGGAAATAGAAGAACCGAGCTGTCCATACCGGCTGATCCTTTATTCTAGTTGATGTTATAACCCGGTATCTGGGCTTCATGGTCATTATAGTTTCTAGAGACCCAAAGAAAATCGTCATCATTCAAGTCTTTGTCCAGCGTTCTTTTGACGATTTTCTTTCGGCCTCTTTTTATTTTGAGGTAGTATACCTAACCATCGTCATTTTGACTGAACGAATATTGATGGAATATCTCGGCTAGTCCAAGGTTTAGGCCAAGACGATGGTTGAGCTCGGTGATGCCATTTATTATCCTATATATATTGGTGGATAGTTGGTTGGGGCAGAGCTTGGTCTGCCTAAGGAATTTGTAAATGAGGGATTGGACCGGGAATCGGAGTCCGCTCTCCACGATGGATATCACGGTGAAGGGACAGAAACCGAATTTGCCCGAAAGTATGGTATCTTGCTCAACTAGAGTGAATTGTACATTGTATAGAATGTTATAGTCTCTTCGGAACTCGACTATGGTTCCCGGCGAGCTCACCGTGAAGCGACATTTGCCTATGAGAGTAAGTCTTAAATTAATAAGTTAGAATTTGCTCGGCTCCCTAGCCTGGCGTTGATGTACATGAGAGATTGCTCGGTCGAGCAGTACCACAAAGTGGTGAAATGAATGTGTGCCTGGCCAACCTAGTCAAGTCTGCAAGGTGGAAAATAAATTGTGTTATGCTCAAGTGTTAACTGAGCTTAGACAATAGCGTAAACTAATTATTGAATAGTTTGCTCTGTCAGAAGAGTGTGTGTTTGTGGTGCTTAGCTCGGTCATAGGCTAGTGGCCATAATTTGGTCCAGGTGCCAGAGCAAGATTTTAGCTCGGCTCAGGAGATGGACAAGGTTTTAGCCCGGCCAAGCTCAGAGGTAGTGTTCCTAGCTCGGTTATAAACGCTTAAATGTGTACAAACAGGTTTTTAGCTCAGTTATGACGCTATTTTGGATCAGAATCGCTATGCTTGTCTGGTTTTAGTTCTAGTCATGGGGAGTTCATCATTAAGCATGGAATTTCAGGGGTTTTACATGGATCTCAATTCCAAGCTCGTATATATGTGTGTTTTGGTGCATTTTTTATACTAAAAAGATGTTTTTAAGCCTAGATAGATATTGAAAAATACCAGAGGCATAGAGAACTTACAGAGAAAAATACCAAAGAGGTATAGAGAACTTATGGATTTTGAAGGTTGATCCAAGTCCTGAATGGAAAAAATACCTCTTCATACATTTGCGTGCCCACAGGTGTTGGATTATGCTTCGACGCGAGGCAGAGATAGAGGTGTGAGAAAAGATGGAGCATTGGGCTTAGGGTTTGAAGACAAAAAAGATGAATAGTGAAAGTAAGTGGAGTATATGTATAGGCAATATATATGTGAAATACAAAAATGAGAAGACAGTTCAAATTTTTGGCTAATGCTTGACGGCTGTAGCAAGGATATGGGCACAATGGAAACGTGCCATGTGTCCCAGATATGTCAGACGTATTAGGCGTGCCAAACTGATGGATGGATGCGTTGGGCAATTGATTAGACTTCTTGGAACCGAGCGAATTATGGGATCGAGCAACTTTTCTAGCTCGGCTGATTTGAGCCTACTTGGCTCGGCTAGAGGAAAGTAATCCCAATCATGCTTTGCAGATAGAATTAAGGGGCTATTGAGAGGGTAATTTGTGTAGATAAATTGGGCCGAGCTAGGTGGGATCTTCTTTGGAGATTGGGCTGCACAATGGGCCGAGATAAGAGCTTAGATAGCACGGTCTTGGGTTGAACCTCTAATAGGTCGGTCAGTGATGGGCTACTAAGGCTTGGAACTAGCTATCTATGTACGATCTATAGAAAGGCCGAGGTACTAGATTGACTATCTAGGAGAAGAAGGTCGAGCTAGCTGTAGCTCGGCGGTGCACCATTAGGCAGACAAGGTTTGGACAGTTCGGTTAGAGGTGGAACGGAGTAAAGGTAGCTCGGTTAGTTATCGATAGCCGAGCAGAGTGTTGCTGTCTCACTTGGCTGGCAGTGAGGAAGGGTGTTCTATGGATAAGCATTATTCTTTAGGAATGTGACTCCTACAAGGACTCTGTTAAGGAGAGATAGAGTCGTACTAGGATTGTGCCACGTGAAATCTATAAAAACTCATGACAGAACCTATTCCCAAGTGTTGTAATTCTTACTTTTGAATACACAGAGCTTTAGTATCTTTTGTTAACTTGCTGACTTAGGCATCGAAGGGGTTTTCGGCATAAGCCCATCGGCTAGCTTACATTTGTATTTTCAGTTGATATGACGACGACGTTTGGAGGAGTGCAAATTTGATCAACATGATTATACGAAAATGATTATTTCATGCTCGTACACATTCAATTCCATCTAATTCTAATGAATCAAATATAGCATCATAATATTATGTGACTATTAACAAACAAATTACGTTTTTTTTTTCCAGAGCTTGAACCTTATCGTACAATAAATTTTGAGTTTTTAATTTTATCAATTTAAACTCTAATATTTTGATTTGTTTTCCATCTAAGTTATCCGCCTATTTTTGTGAAGTAAAACCAAAGAAAAAAAAAAACATTTTAACCATTAAACTTAATAAGCGGATGGCTTAGATTTAAAATAAATTAAAAAATTAAAATATAAATTAATAAAATTAAAAATTGAAGATTTATCTAGTTATAAGGGTCAAACTCTAAAAAATTTTATTTTGTAATTTTCACAACATTTTTTTTTATCAATAATGTTAGAAATATAAAATAAATAATAAAAAACATAATATAAAGTTAGGATTAAACCTAATACTCCTTCCGTCCCAAAATTCTGTTATTCCATTTTTCATTTTCTCAAAATATTAGTCCATTTTCAAAAATTAAGTATAAAAATAATATAAATTTCCTATTTTGTCATTCTTTTAAATTCATTAATAACATAAAAAAATATAATTATGACATTGATATTTTTTAAAAAATATATTATCAAAGAATAATTTAAAAAAATTATTTTTTTAAAATATAATAATTATACTACCAACAAAGATTGGATTCTTCAAAATGAACTATCATTTTGGACGGAGGGAGAAATGAAGATGATCCTATCCGACACTTTTTTAAATCAATTACTACGTGATAACTGAATGAATAAAGTGTCGAAAATAATCCACCTCTCAATAATGATGAAATCCATATATTTTAGAATAAATATAACTTATTATTATATTTTTCATGATTCATTATGTATTTTAATTTGTGTTCTTAAAATTATGGGGAAATAGTAATAATAATAATAATAAGAATAAGAATAATTCAGAATTTGATTATTGTAACAAAATAAATTTTTAATTTTTAATTTTGACAATTTAAATTTAAATTTTTTAACTTATTTTCAATCTAAACTATCATGTTATTTCCTCTAAATAAAATCAACAGAAAAATAATACTTTAATTATTAAACTCAATATAAGTATATATAAAATGTTTAAAATATCATTTTTTATTGAGTTTAATTATTATAATATAATTTTTTTGTCAACTTTACTTAATAAAAACATGTAGATAATTTAGATTAAAAAAAAAGGTTTTAAATTGACAAAATAAAAAATTTATTTTATTACAAAAGATCATACTCATTTTATTTATTTATTTATAATTTCCTATAAATTTGGGCTTCGTTTGAGAGCAAACTATTTTAGTAATTTTTCAATTTTTACAAAAAGATATGTAAAAAAATAAAGAGAGTGATGTGATAACTTATAATAATTTTTTAACTTTTTAACTAAAATATATAATTGACAAACGAGACCTTAGGCCTGGTTTGACATGTCTTAAAAAAGATAAAAATTCAAAAAGTTACTTAAAAAGTTAAAAAGTTATCACTATTCACAAAAAAAAAATTAAAAAATTAATTTTGCACACAAGACAACTCTGATGTCCCACAGGCGGAGCTGACTTTTTGGAAAAATTACACTTATTTAAGTGCACAAATAACACGGTGCTGTTCGGCCTGTGGGGGCCCATCACCGGGTCCCGTTTTAATAATTTGAACCGTCAATGTGTAGAACTCGTCGAGTACTATATGTTTGTAAAAAATCACGTTGATCGGATATTGATAATTATATGATCCAATCAGATAAAATTTGTAAAATGGATGGTGTTATAGTTAACGGTTGAAAAAAAAAAACTAATTCGATAAGATAGTTATCGTTATCCAATCAACGTGATTTTTTACAAGCATATAGTACTCGACGAGTTCTACACATTAAACGATTTTGATTAGCAAAACAGGATCCGTGGCGGGCTTTCACGGGCTGAACAACACATTCAATTCAATACCCGAAAAGTAGAGAATCATATCTCAGCCTACACTCTGCATCTTCTCCTATACACTAAATTATATAATTTTTTATTACACATTTTTTCATAAAAAGTCAAAAAATTATCTCAAACAATCATATTTTTTTCTCAATTTTTTAGTTAAAAAAATCAAAAAATATACTTATTTAAGACACTCAAATAACCTCTTAATATTTGTTTCATAGGCGTCCTGGCTTGGTTACTCAAGTTAGTTATGCCCCGTTTGGATGTCCATTTGGACTAAAATAGTCATATGGAAAAAAATAATTTATTTTAACCAAATATAATAAAATATCATATTTAAATCACAATTATTTTATTTTTTCTTTTCTAAAAGTTTAAAAAATAAAAAAAATTATTTCAAACGAAACTTTTTAATCCTAAATCAAAATAATAATAAAAAAAATAAAAAAACCAAACTATATCCCAAACCAGTCTTTATTCGGACGCGCACAACCATGTTGTTAGCGGTCGTTTTCGCACCAAGTGTCAACTGCTAATATATATCTGCTCGAACAAAACTACGTCGTTTTCGATCCATTTTCGAGTTTCGCGCTTTAATTAAGAGATCTCTCTCTCTCTCAATATCTTCTTTTGGTTCCTTTGGAACTCTCTCTACCCCTCACTTTTCTTTTCCAGATTTTTTCTTCTTTTTGTACCAATTCACGATCCCTTACGTCCCTGTTTGGGTCTCTCTCCTCTCTCTCTCTCTCTCTCTCTCTCTCTACACATGGAGACTCTGGGAGTTCCCTCTCCTCCACTCCCCTGCAAATCGTTTCTAAACTCAACAACAAGAACAGAGATTACTCTGAAACCGGGTGTATTCAGGCAAATGGGTGTTGTTTCCACCTTGTGGAGGCAGAAAAGAAGCAATCTTGGGTCTCTGACACTTGGAAGATCAGTTTCAGGTGGGGAAAAGGGTGGGTTTCGAAGCTCACAAGATGGGTCTTCAACTATGGAAGATAAGGAGGAGAAGGGCCTTCTGTTGGGTGCAGAGAGGGATGATTCTGTCTCTGTTGTTGGGTTTCACTTGATTCCTCCATCTGGTATGTTCATATTTCTTCAAATTCCGATTACTTTTCCTTGTGTTCTACTTCTGGATTAGTTTTTTTTTTTTAATGCCATCTTCTACACTCGCTGTTCACTGAATCAGTAGTGTGTTATGCAAACTCAATAATGCTATTATAATTTTACATTAAAATTTTTGGATTTGACAATTGAGACACGGTTTGATAAATGAGGATAATGTTTAGCAGTTTGGGGCAGTTTAACGAATGACCAAAAAAAAAAAAAAAAAAGAGAGAGGGCTCAGTATTTGGATGGGCTGATTTGGTGATAAAAAATCTAGAAATCCGTAAGATATTGATCTGTGATTATGTATCAATTTTAAGCAATAAAACAATCCCAATCAAACAATCAAGACAAATAGACACAACGATTTTAACGTGGAAAAATCACAATTGGAGCACCTCCAATTGTGATAAAAAAACTACGGGCAACAGTCACAGAACAATCCACTAAGAAGATATAAATGAATTATACATGTATACTCTCAATTACCTAGTGAATCCACGCCCGAATTGAACCAACCCTTATGTGCCTCTTCCAACTCCGTTTTCACCTCGGAATTGTCATGACGACGAGCCACTCCAGAATTCACCAAAGCTTCAGGCTCGAATTCTTCATAATCCACCGAAGAACAACTCTTTCTTTTGTATAGAATGAACAACCAATCCTTTGATGTATTCTCCTTAAACCATGAGTTGAATACTCAATGAAATATCAAAGAAAACTAGCAAAATAGCCCCTAGATATAAACCCTAGAACCCAAGAAGAAGATCTGGAGGCGTTCCCCTAGATTTGGATTGAAACACGTATTTATAGAAAACTGTCCCGCGATCTCCGCTTGAGCGCCAAAATGGACGCTCGAGCGGGAAAAAATATATCGCAGTATTTTTGCAGGCGATCAAACTTCTAGAACCAAGGATTCTCCGCTCGAGCGGAGTAATGTTCGCTCGAGCGGACAAACAACTTCGAAGGCAATTTTCCATTTTGCTTCGGAGGCGTTGCCCTTCGACCCCGCCTGGGTGCTGCCTCGGACCCGTCAAGGGGCGTTGCCCCCTGGACCCTCACGAGCTGACCGGGCAGCTCGATCTTCGTTATAGTCAGCGAAGTGGCAATCTTGAAAGAATTAAACACCACAAACTTCTCTGTACAACACGATTCGGGTTGGATTCGCATCTAGTAATCTCATAACCTCACTAAAATAAAAGTGCAAAAACAAGTATAATTGAAAAGAGTGTTGTCAAATAGGATTGCCAAAAATAAAAACCTAACAAGTGAGAAGAATTAACGAGAAATGATGAGAAAGAGAACTCTTTTATCATGTTTGGGTTATAAGTTGGGTGAGAAATGGTGAGAATGAATGAGAAATTGTGAGAAAGAGTACCTACGGGCAACAGTCACAGAACAATCCACTAAGAAGATATAAATGAATTATACATGTATACTCTCAATTACCTAGTGAATCCACGCCCGAATTGAACCAACCCTTATATGCCTCTTCCAATCCCGTCTTCACCTCGGAATTGTCATGACGACGAGCCACTCCAGAATTCACCAAAGCTTCAGGCTCGAATTCTTCATAATCCACCGAAGAACAGCTCTTTCTTTTGTATAGAATGAACAAACAATCCTTTGATGTATTCTCCTTAAATCATGAGTTGAATACTCAATGAAATATCAAAGAAAACTAGCAAAATAGCCCCCTAGATATAAACCCTAGAACCCAAGAAGAAGATCTGGAGGCGTTCCCCTAGATTTGGATTGAAACACGTATTTATAGAAAACTGTCCCGCGATCTCCGCTTGAGCGCCAAAATGGACGCTCGAGCGCGGAAAATTCCGCTCGAGCGGGAAAAAATATATCGCAGTATTTTTGCAGGCGATCAAACATCTAGAACCAAGGATTCTCCGCTCGAGCGGAGTAATGTTCGCTTGAGCGGACAAACAACTTCGAAGGTAATTTTCCATTTTGTTTCGGAGGCGTTGCCCCTCGACCCCGCCTGGGCGCTGCCTCGGACCCGCCAAGGGGCGCTGCCCCCTGGACCCCCACGAGCTGACCGGGCAGCTCGATCTTCGTCATAGTCAGCGAAGTGGCAATCTTGAAAGAATTAAACACCACAAACTTCTCTGCACAGTACGATTCGGGTTGGATTCGCATCTAGTAATCTCATAACCTCACTAAAATAAAAGTGCAAAAACAAGTATAATTGAAAAGAGTGTTGTCAAATGAGATTGCCAAAAATAAAAACCTAACAGGTGAGAAGAATTAACGAGAAATGATGAGAAAGAGAACTCTTTTATCATGTTTGGGTTATAAGTTGGGTGAGAAATGGTGAGAATGAATGAGAAATTGTGAGAAAGAGTACTCTCTTGCTAAGCCTATATCATTTCTCACTAAAAGTGATGAGATTTGGTAGAAACAAATTAAGAGGGCTGCTAATAGCACCCTACCTTTTTTTTTTTGGACCCCTACCATTTTAAATTTTTTGTATTAGAATTTTACCCCAACTCTCAACATCCCTAGCCCCTTTTCTGGCTAAATCCAATTTACATAAGTGAAGCCTTTTCCAACTAGATATTGCCAAAAATAAAAACCTAACAGGTGAGAAGAATTAACGAGAAATGATGAGAAAGAGAACTCTTTTATCATGTTTGGGTTATAAGTTGGGTGAGAAATGGTGAGAATGAATGAGAAATTGTGAGAAAGAGTACTCTCTTGCTAAGCCTATATCATTTCTCACTAAAAGTGATGAGATTTGGTAGAAACAAATTAAGAGGGCTGCTAATAGCACCCTACCTTTTTTTTTTTGGACCCCTACCATTTTAAATTTTTTGTATTAGAATTTTACCCCAACTCTCAACATCCCCAACCCCTTTTCTGGCTAAATCCAATTTACATAAGTGAAGCCTTTTTCAACTAGATTTAGATTAAAATTTGGCAATCCCAATACAATGTGATGAATGGAGCATGACATCGTTAGCTCAGAGGATGTTCACAACTTGGATGAGATTCACAGCTCGGAGAAGGTTCGTTTTGTAGTGGTAAGTTTTCCCAAAAAAAAAAAAAGTTTGACATTTGTTCGATACTGAACTCCAACATATATAAAAAAATTGGTAAACTCCAACCGAATTAGAGGCAGTAACAAGCATGGCCTAACCAAACTAAACAATTGCTGAACAAAATGGGTTTGTTCGGCCAAACAGCTCTGAGCATGGATCAAAAGTTTGGCAAAAAGGTTTTCGGAAAATAATCATATTTCCATAGTCCAGTGCCGAACACTACTTAGATAGAACAAAGGTTCATAAGGTCTAGATTAATGAACAAAATTCAAAATAACCATACTTTAAAACAACCAACAATAAATTTATACCAAAAAGGTGGGCTAAAGGTAGGGAGGTGAAGTCCGAGGAGGCGAGGGACGGGAAAGGTGTAGAGAGGGCTGGCGTCGGAGATGGTGAGGTTGTCAGTGATGGAATGTTGCCGTTGATGAGGGGCTACCAGAAGAAGAGTGGGTGGGTGGGGGTTCCAAAGAAAAAAGGCATATTTGGGATAAAGGTGGTGCTTAAGAGAAAAAGAAGTGGGGAGGCATTTTGATGGGTGGGCAGGGGGCCAAAGAAATGGGGGTCCAAAGGAAAAAATGAAGTGCTATTAACAGTACTCCAAATTAATTGTTTGTAAAATATTTATAATACCAATATTGCCTCTTAAAATACAAAAGGAATAAAAAGAAATCCCAATCATATCTCTCTCTCACATGATTTACTTTTCTAACCATCCAAACATGATAGTGAGAAAACGCAATTATTTCTTTCTTTTCTGTCCTAGACAAGAGACCATAATCATTTTTTTTCTTTCTCACCTGATGATCCAAAAGGAGTGTGATATGTATTGGATGCGAAGGGTATTCTTAGAAAAGAAAGGTTTTAATACTATGTATGCTTATATAATAGAATAAAATTCTATTGTATTATATATTTGTGTCTCTTTGTTTGACAATGTTGATGATGCTATAAGATTAATGAGGATTGTACTATACAAAAGTTTTTGTGGGTCTTAGGGTTCAGCCCTTATTATTGTTGGGCCACCTTCTAAAGGATTCAAGTGGTGGTACTTCTTTCAATTCATGTGAGGATGATAACATTATATTCCTAGCAGCCTATTTTTATTTATTTTTTATTTTTTAAAAGTACTGTGGTATTGAAATTAGTAGTATAACTATGCCAGAAATGTAAGCCCATACTTGTATGGATGGACTGGATTAGATGAGATTAGTATTCTTAGTACTGTTAGTCCTGGTTTTGTCAATCCCTTTAGTTTGTATATCTTATCTCAAGTTTGGATTGACTCAAGATTAAGAGGAGGGATTAATAAAATCATATCAATTTTGTAATTTAACTAATTAGTTTGAACCTCTTCTTAGTCCTCCATTTTGTAACCCGCCCCCGTCTTTCGATTCAATAATCCCCCATATTAGAGATACTATGTCCGAATGGACTATAAGTCCAGACCTTAATTTTTTGAGACAAACATCAGATTATGTATTTTGTTGGATTATTAGTCCAATCTCAAGACCATGTCTGCCCAAACAACATGGCCTAAAAGTATAGGTTGCAGTTTCAAAAGTTAATTTCTACTAAGGGGTGTCTCGTGTATATTGGTCACCATAGCATAGAGTTACTTAGGGCGGCTTATGCTTTAGGCCTCATTACTGTCCAAGGCCCCATATTAAATACATAAATACATATTCTTGTACACCAATTGAAAAAATAAAAATAAAGTCATGTTTAAATAAATAAGTAAATAAATAATTAAAAACGAAAATTTATACAAAAGCAAGGAATCACAAGGCCCTTGCACCCTATGAAAATTAAACTAGCTCTGTGAAAGGCCCTGTAAACACTAGCTCTCTTACTTAGTAGTCAATTTTTTCAGGACTCCAAATTTGTACTATCATAGTTTTTTGAGTCCTATCTAAGATTTT